AGAAGACTGTCCCCTTAGTACTGAGTGGATGTTGAGAAAACCTGTCACGATTTTTCGTGTGACTTTTACCAGTCTCGAATGACTAATGGTTCATACCTTGTATCTTTTGTTTCTTCACGTGATGTTGGCTTCTCGTATGCCAAGTGATTCTATGGGTCGTTATGCAAAACATTTAAATATATAAGACAAAGATGGGTATTTGAAAAAAATGGGGATAATTTTACCTTTCCCCCCATTTTTTAAGGTAATGGTAAAGGATAGTTAATTTTTCGTAATTGAAAATGAAACATGATATATCGATAGTGGGGTCGATGAAATATGTTCAAAACAGCTGATGTTATAATAAAGAAAAAACTAATGTATAATAAAGAAAAACACGATGATATTTTAAAGAAAATTTTGATGTACAATGAAAATATTATTATAAGAAAGCAAAACACTAATGTATAATAAAGAAAAAAATATGGTTCATAAAGTCATATATTCTGTCAGGCATTGCATAATGTTTGAATACGGAAATTGAAAAGGTGAAGTACTATCAGATGAGGATCCGTATCTGCCGAGATCAGTGAGATTCCATTCACAGAACTGTACCAGTTTGACTGATATCTAATTGCAGGCTTGTGTGTGGTCAATCCTACCTTGTCATTGTCCACTTACATATACGGGAATAATTATAAAATACTTCAATTAACGATTTTTTTATAGGCAGAGACTGTTTCAGTGTTAAACATGTTGGCGACCTTACCTATCCTATCGCGTCTGGCTAATAAAATTCTAATATAAGCATGAAGTGTTTTTAGGCAATGCTCATCAAACCGACCGAATATTTAATAAAGACAATTCCTCCGTTGTTCCAGCACTAAAGCCTTTCCATTCTCCTTCCAGCTGTTTTTCACTATCAACATCAATAATACGAATGATGAGGCACCATAGCTTCACCAGTGACTACACAAAACAGCGAAGTGACGGAAGGAGGTCCCTGAGGAACGCTCATCGCCAAGCTCCGTGTCAATGACAACGATCTTGACGATACCATTGACATGAACTCAGTGAGTCAAGGAACGCCGCGGGCAAAGTGATGCATTCGTTTTTTTTAGATTGATTTTTAATGCCTATTTCCTTGAAATCGGGTGGTGATTTCACTTTACGTTTTTCTTTGCATTCACTCTCGCATTGGTCACGGAATTTCTGTGATTATCATGCTTATTGATGAAAGGAGCAATTGCTTCCGTATCGTTATCAGTCATGCTGTGCTGTCAAGAGAGGGCGATGGGGTGATCTTCTTCTTCGCTTCATTTCACAGATTTATTTCGTCCATTATCCACGCAATAATATATATATATATATGTTTGTGTAGTATATGTAGTTATATATATATATATAATATATATATAATATATATATATTCTATATATATATATATATATATGTATATTGTGTGTGTGTGGTGTGGTGTGTGTGTGTGTCGTGCGTGTGTGGTGGCGTGTGTGGTGTGCGTGTGCGTGTGCGTGTGCGTGTGCGTGGTGTGTGTGTGTGTATGTATGTGTGTATATATACACATATATCTATATTCATTACCAACATTTTCACCTGAACACTAAAAGCATTCGTACAGCTCTGCATTAGAAATGCAAAACTACAACTCCCAGTCAAGCAGTTACGGTACAGAACATCCAACCTCTCTTCTCCTTCTCCCTCCCTGCATTGACGACAGCTTGGTGAGGTCGTCCATGGAAACGACGACTTCAAAAACATGGAACCTGGAGGTCTCCCCGGGAGCGAGAAATTGACAGGGAGAAACGGAGGCCGAAATAATTTAACCGTGGACAATCAAAGACAGCAATGGAGCTTCCAAGTGAAATGGAGGTTCCGTTACTTGAGGTCTTCATTTTAGATAAATGATTCTCGAGTCTAAATATACCAATCCTGACCACGTAAGGAGAGCAAGGCCTAATATGACGTCATAGTCCTGTTTTTTTTCTGGATTGGAGTTTGGTTTTCAGATTACAGAAAACAAATCAAGTGGGTATTTCTATAAGGACGTCAGAGGTCGAGATAATTGCCTGGTTCATTATCCTTATTTTCTGTAAACCTAAAAAAAAAAACTTTTGTTAAAGATTATTGTATTCGAGGAATACCAGGTAGTAAGGACAAAGACTTGAAAAGTGACAGATTTGATATATCTAGATTGGATAAATCTTGTCAGATCACCATTTAGTAATGAATGTCGCAGTTTTCCTTTCCTAATTGTCTTTCATTGTATTATTATCAGTAGTGATATAGTAACTTATATGCAACTGCACTTGTAAATTAACGTTGCGTCCAATAATTCAGGTGAATATATGATCACAACAAATAGAATATGATAGTGATATCCATGGATTTTTTTTTCAAATACAATTTCATGTGTTTTTGCAAATAGACATATGTTTCAAAATTATATTTGGTGATACTTTTTTACTCAGAATCTCAAATAACAACTAACTTTATGAAAATA